TACTAGTGCATCTCACACGTCTAAGAACAATATATTTCAGCTGCTCTAATTAAATAAAGTCTTAGATTGTAACACTGTGAATTAGGGTCCAACAGCCTGGGTCCAACTTCTCGCAATATCATTCACTAATTACAAGCCTTTGCATTTCTCTTTAAAATAGGTACCCAGGCTGAGCATCCATTATCTGAAATGTTTCAAATCAGCAGAATTTCAAATCTCAGAGTTTCCAGATTTTGGAATACTTGCTGACTTTTACCACTGAATGTCTCCTGTCCAAACAGCTCTAAAGCCTGGAACTTTTTGAGTATCATGGCAGTACTCAAGCAGTTTTTTATTTTGAGCTAGGCAGGGTGGAGCACAGTCTACCCCCAGCTACTCCAAAGGCTAAGTCATGAAGATCCTAAGTTCTAGGCCAGGCTGGGAAATGTGGTGAAACTCCCATCCCAAAGTAAAAGAAATTTAAAGGGGGAGGGGAAAGTGCACGTCAGTCACAAATCAGTGACTGATCACTTGCCTAGCAAGTGCAAAGTCTTGGGTTCAAGCCCCAGAACCAGAGTTGAGATGTTCAAGCTGTATTTAAAATGCATAACTTAGTGGGCCGGTGTGTGGATTCAATTAGCTCAAACATTATTATAGCAGCGCCTGGCACCACTACTGAATAGAAGTATAATATAAGCCACATAATGAAAAACACATTTCAGGTACTGAAAAATCATATGAGCGCATTTCTAAGGTACTGGGTATCACAGCTACATTCTTTAAATCTCTTGAGGCTTTTAAGAGCTCAGAGTGCTTGATCAGTTACCAAGTAATGCATGTTTCTGACACATTTTTCTCCTTTAATAAATATCTAAAATTACTCTGATTTTAATCTTTAGGTAGCATTTATGGTCTTTTTTTAAAGTGAAAGAACGAAATTAGAAAATTAATTAAGACGATGTACTTCCCCGTTTAGTCCCTGTATAAATTTTTAATTCCAAAGTAATATCCAGGTACCCAGCTCATTTCAGGAAAGCACTTTCACTACCAAAGTATTAAAAGACTAATCTGAGTGCTGAATGCAGAGAACGTAACTTGTGGGAAACGTGGTGCAATGTACATTGGTCAAGGATTGAGTATGAGATGTTGTTAACAATGATAGTTAAAAAAGAAGTATCTCATTAATTAAAATGAGAAACAAAAGAAGTTCAACTGTATAAACTCTCTAAGATAGTATTAGATAAAATATTCTGCAGTTGAAGCAGTTGTTGGTGACAAAGATAGAGTCAAAGAAAAAACATGTGTAAGTGCATCATTATACACCCACATAAAAACATCCATCCGGGTCAGGGGCTCAGACTGCTTAGAACACAAGGGGTCCACAGGGCAGGAGGTGGTGGGATGGAAGAGTAGTTAAAGCAAAGGCGGTCATTCAGACCCTCTACCCGGAGGATTGGGCCACATGCCATCAGCTTCTCTTGGTTATGGTCCTCCATCTTTACTATTTACAAGTGAAGAAACGGGGCTTGGAAAAAGCTGTCCAAGCATCCTTCTGTGAGTTTTCCTACTGATCTAACCTCCTCTGTTGATTCCACCACCTCGGACCCAACACTGGACTCCAGACACCTTTGGGCTCCCTCCTCCCACCTTTCTTCTTCAGTCTCCACGCGCAGAGGGTGAGCTCATCCATTCCCAGAGCTTTCAATACGCTCTAGATGCCGACAGCTTCTGAGTTTATACTTCCAACCCCAGCTGCTCCTCTTAAGTCCAGCATATGTACTGTATCTCCAGGCTCCCCAGACAAGGGCACTGAGACAAGCAGCAGGTACCTAAGCAGACTCGAAATGTAACTGCGCCTCCCCCGTTTCCTCTTCATCTCCGTTAACAACCTCACCACCAAACACGTTCCATGTCCCGGTTTCTGATTCAAACTGCACGGAAGCAGGTATTCTGGCACAATATACAAGGAAAAAGGGGACCAGCTTAGACTGTACAGAAATGACAGGGTTCAAGGGACGCGATCTGGGATAAGGCTGAAAGGACAGCACAGAGCAAATCGGGACAGACTGTGAGTCAGAACGTGCAAGGCAGATGACATGAAAATGCAGAAGTCCACGTCCAAAACCAGCTGAGAGACACTGGGAGGACGGGAAGAGTCTACGGGACAAGCGTGCGAAGCAGGAGGACGAGAACCGAGAACTGACAAGGGAGAACTGAGCGCAGGGGCGGGCTCGGCTCCCGGGAGTCGGGAGAGAACCCGTCCATCCCAGAGGCTCGGTGGCCAGAGTCTACTTCACTATTTAGTGTAAATCAAGGGGAGTTTATGCAGACTTCTTCCCGAAGGCCACAGCTGAGCACTTCCTGTTTCCCTAAGGAGTTCTCTTGGTGTGTTAGTACTGATTGAAACTAACTTTGCATAGCCTGGATAGAACAGTAACATCTGCACGGCCACATCAGCCTGATCCGAAGAGAGAGGAAGCAATGGGACCAGGAAGCTGGAGTTGGGAGCAGTCTTCATCCTTCCGTAAAGGTATCCGAGCTCTGGTACCTTCCAAGTAAAATGACTTAAGTGCTGTATTTTATGGGGCAAAGGTCTAACATTTCTAACAAAGATATACCTTTTCTTACAAGTCTACCTCAATAATAAAGAAACGATCTTAAACTTTTAACTAGTAAGTATTAAGGCTGGTACAAAGGACTACTAAATAATTTATATGTGTGTCATGAAAAGGCCGTTCTTGGTACGACCATGCAATGACAGGTGTCAGTCAATATTTTGGGATCTGTTGCATCCTGGAAGATAAATCTTTCTATGGAAAAGCAAGACAGAAAAAGTAATACCATCAAAAATTTCTGAGATGCATTTTCTGTTATTTCTCTCACTTTTTTGTTGCATGAAAAATGCATTTTCTGTTGACTTTAACAGAAAAAACACTGAGTTCTAAGAAGAGATTCCATTTCTTTTTTTTTGTTGTTTTTTTGTTTTTCTTCCGGTACCAGGAATCAAACTCATGACCTTGCGCTTGCCAGCCAGGCACTTTTGCTGCTGAGCTAAATCCCCAGCCCCAGAGATTCCATTTCTAAAGTCAATGTTTCTTTGGGCTCTTTTTCTGCAAACAGTCATTAAGTTACCAAGCTAACATATCTATTCATTCTGTTAAGTATGGTAAATCATTGGTGATAAAACAATTTATTTAAACTACAAAGTGCTAAACGCCCCCCCCCTTTCATCTATCATGAGATTTAGTTTTGCCTTTCTGTTTTGACATACTTACGACTTGGTCAAACCCAATTAATATATACTTGTGATTTATCAATTGAAAACAATAATTAAATGGCGTTATAATTATAGAGTTCCTTTACACTTTCCTAGTATATTTAAAATATTCTAATTTTTAAAGCACAAATTCACTGACTCATCTTTGCATTCAATGCATTACCAGGTTTAGAATTATTCATTTATAGTAATACCATATGATTAGAAGTGTTGCTTATCAGTCCAGTATTTAGATTTGTGGGTTTAATGATTGTTTTGTACACAATCTTTGTGGAAACACATTCTGTCAGGCTTTTATCTATAGAGATTATTCCACTCCTTTGCACCTTATACTAGATCTTCTCTGAAACAACAGGTAAAGCAATTTAAACCCACGATATGACTTCACCTAATGAAACAAGATTTCTTCCTCCCTGAAATCAGAACATGGCCAAAGGAAGAAACGAAGATCTTCGAAGCACTGAGACCTGGCATTTCGATGTTCTCCCTGATTTATGTAATACTCTGCTGTACTCCTCAGCCCTTTCCCAGCCTTAATCTCAGCCCTTTACCCTGTCATCACATCCACAATCTCAGGACCTGCTGAGATCCGCTTCCTCGATCCCTGAGGCCTCTTTCCCAGCTCAGCAACAGCTCAGCCTCACGGCTCTGCACTCCCACTTCCATTCTCTGCCCTGGAGTGCTGCTCACTGGCCTTTGTTCCCAGGGAAGCCCCAACCTAAAGTCACGCTTCTCTTTCCGCTCTCTGAGGCTATCACTACCATTCTGCTTCTGTTCCCACTGTAATTGCCCAGACCAATTTTCACAGTATAAAGTCCACGTCCCCTTCGTCCAGCGCCTTGTTCCTGTGCCAGCCTTTGGCCCAAAGCTCCCCTCCCAACACTGCTCACAGGCCAACACCGAGTTTTACTAGGAAAGTCCAAGAAACCACGGCAGCTGGTCTTTCTGACACATTTATGTCTAACTTCAATGGCTCTTCATCACTCAGGAGCTTCCCTTTGCTGTTCTCCTCCATAACCTGTCTCGGGCTGCTTTAAACTTCCTCTGGTCACAGGCGGAGAACCATTCATTTCTCACACTGTTCTCCACCTGTCCAGGCAGTGACCTGGCCGTTGCACATCTTACTGCTTTCCTCAATCCTCTCCTCCTTCCCTCCTCCTCAGAGGAGCAGCTTTTCCTCTGCTCAGCACCAACTGTGCTTGGCGCTCAGTACCAACTGTGCTTGGTGCTCAGTACATTCTCTTGGCTTTCTTTCCCCCGACACACACTACGACAAACCGTTGGACATCCTTTAACCCATTTGTTAAGTCACGTCCCCCCACCAATGGGTTTTCGCTCTTCTGAACCCTCTGCACAGGGTCTGAATCCCAGCTTCACCCACCCGGAGCTGTGTCTGCCCGTGGCTTCCACGGCACCTCCGACTCTGTCCACGTCTCCAATCATGTGTTCCCATTTTCATTATCGTTTCCCATTTTCATTATGTGTTCAGTATTTCTAATCTCAGACCAATTAGATTGGTAACCAAAATGAAGGTAACTTACAGCTGCTGAATAAACAAAATAAACAGAATGGTGTATCTTATTAGCAATATTTGGTAATTATACTCCCAAACCTCTTCATAAAATGTGGCATTTGGTACACGTGTCAGATAATAAGGGTTTACAGCATAGCTCAGGAGGTCTAGTCTTTTTTTTCAATAAGCTCAAGCAAACAAAGGTTATTTAAAAATAGGGAACAGACTTACCAGTCTCCGTCTTTCTTCTTCTACTGTAATAAGTAGCCTTGCAAATTCTTTTAGCGATTGAGCTATTTTTTAAAAAAGGAAAAAAACAGAAGCATTACTCTTCATTCATAGCTAATAGTTACAGAAGAACACAGATTTCAATAAAGCTGGTTACTAACTTGTTCATATTATATTCTCTGGTTTTATGTTTGTACAACCATAAAATAGTATATATAATAAGACCCTAATGACTCAGAGCTATAGACAAGAGATGTGTATTTTTTGTAAGAAATGTATATTTTGCTGTGTGCTGCAAACTGAAGTTTAGTGAGTATCAAGTACAATGTTTTCTTCAAAGATAACAGGAGAAATATACTTTATGGTTTTAATATATAGAACAGATTAATAAATGAAAATATGGTACCGGAATTACTTCTAAACGGTGACCTTCAAATATGAAATATTTCAAATACGAAACTTTGTGTGTATGTATGCGTGCTGAGTACTGAAGCCAGAGCTCTGCACACCCAAGTAAGCACTGTACCACTGAGCCACCCTCCAGCCGCGAAGAGTAACCCTTTTAAAAAAGTAATCGAGAACTATTTAGATGTACTTAGTAGAAAATAATAATGCAAGGTCTCCCACTGAATTCTCAAAACTCAGGGACTTACATACTTCAAAACAGATTCTGTATGTTGAAGGGGTCAATTTATTCCCACATCCTCAGTAATGTAGATCTTTGCTATTTAATTAAGTACTATCAGAAGGACCAGCATCTTGCGAGTTTATTAAATAGAAATGCAGACTCTGAAGCCCTCTCCCCAGAATCTGCCTCTTCACATGATCTGCTTTTGCACTGAAGTTAGGAAACCCTACATTAGAAAGCTATGCAAACTACCCTGTCCTGCTTGAAACAAATTAGATAAGGAGAAACCATCTACACTAGGAGGAAAACTTAAGAATTTGGAAACACTGGCAGGACAAGTCAAAAATAATAAATTAATGTGGAGTTATAGAAGCATATTCTTTAAGGTCGGAGTTCCAAATGGCAAATGTGAAAGGGTAATTCATCTATATCAATTTTCATACCAAACACATAATGTGAACTCTTAACTAAAATCAGAACGTTTGGGTTAAGAGAACAGCACGAATAGAGTGAAAGCAAGTCCACTCCATTTTTCTTTAAGCTTTAAAGCAGGCCGTCTGTGTCCTCACTCACTAAGCGCATTCTCTGCTCCTTTCCTTACACTCACAATGAAAACACTGAGAGAACAAAAGCCTAGTAAGTCTGGCCTACAACACACAAACAAGAAGGTAGGTTAAGTGAGAAAATGACGCAGGAGTCTTATCGCCAGGACTCTTTAAGGAAGAGAAGGAATGTTTTCCACCCTAGAAGTCAAAATTCTGATGCTGGGATATAGCGCCCCCAAAAAGCCCTTGCTTAGCCTGGTGTAAGGACTTGGGTTTGGTGGCCAGCACCACAAAATCAGTTAATTAATCAATTTCCATCCAGGACTTCTTGTCTCTTTGGACCAGTGCACCTTCTGCTACCCAAGGTAGTGTGAAATGCTGTCTCTGTGATTACTTCTCATTAGGTTTTATTCAGTTACCATAACAGAAATTGAAAAATTACTTGGGACTCTGGTTGATCTGATAAACACATTAATGGCCTAAGAATAAGTTTACTTCTTTTATGAAGTTTAGAAAAACAAAACTTTAATTTCTTCAAAAACATTGAAATTAACCCTATATCCCAGGCCTGACAACAGTAAGTTGAAGAGAGAAGTATTTTATACGGAGGACTTTAAGAGTAACAGCATAGCACGTTTATACTTTCTCTGGGTAAAGAAAGCTGCCTGAACAATGTTGGAAAGCCACCCACTGTGAAGGAAGCTCTGCTGAGGTGCTTGAAGAGGTCGGCAACTCAGGGTGAGGAAGGCAATGCTAGAACCCTTACAGAGAAGAGCCATGGAGCAGTGGTGCGGGTTGCGTGAACTGGAGGCCGCAGCTACTTCGGACGACGAGGCAGGAAGATGGGAGAGACAGAGGTGGGTTATACTTCTTTGTAAGAACCCATGAAGCCAGGGGTGGTGGCACACTCCTGTAATCCCAGCACAGGGAAGCTGAGGTAGCCAGATCATCCTGAGTTGGAGGCCCGTCTGGGCTACACAGTCAGTTCAAGGCCAGCCTGAACTACACAGCAAGACCCTGTCTCAAAACAACAAATTAAAGAGAAAAAAAAAAGAAAAGCCCATGAACTTCAGATTTTTAACTCAGTACTTCCTACCCTTTTTAAAAACTACAAGAAATTTCCTGAGATGTTTCCTTTCACCAGAAAGTACCAGATGATGTGCTCTCGCAGGACATGGGAATAACCAAAAGAAAAGAGACAGGATCTAGGAAGTAGGAGACCCAGTGCGGCACAGAAGCCAGCGGAGTCCCCAGGATGACGGAGATATTCCAGGACAACAGCTGTGTAACGGTCCACAGGGACTCTTACTGAGCCTGGAACAAGAGCTAAGGGCTCTGAGAAACGCATTTCCCGAGAAAGGAGAACACAAAAATGTCCTAACGCATCTCAAGCTAGTTTAAAAAAAAAGAAAGAAAACAAAAATGACAAAGTTCAAGTGTTTTCTGGGGCATTAAAGTAAGTAGATGGGCTGGCAGGTGGTAAACAGAGTTTTTATAAAAATGTGTGTTTTACACAAATAACAAAAACCAAAATGCTGCAAATGCTTTCTTTTCCTTCGCAGTAGCCTAATATTCAGTACAACACAGATCACAGATGATGGAATTTCCCACAGGATCAAATAAATACCTAGGGCAAGAGGCCTGTGAACAGCTCACTGGAATACGTGGAAATGTAACCTGGGTTCTGGCTGGCCGGACACATCTGACTCTCCCGCTTGGTGACCCCGAGTGAGCGCTGGGCTGGGTAGTCCCGGGCAGCACCGGGCTGGTTCCGGAGGCCGTGCCTGTGGGACCCCTATGTCCACACTTTCCCAGGACACCTCCTGCTCCAAAAGCAAACTGTGGAGTGGCTGCAAATCAGGTTTTGGTTCCAAGCAAAGAAACACAGGTTCTCATTTTGTTCTTCTACTCTTTGTCCAAAAACAAATTATGCTGTTTTCTACTTTACTTGAATGGCTTTCTGGTCTGTTTCCCATAGAAAGCTATTTATATACTCGGCAAAATAATAGTTGATTATAATAGAAATGTCTGAGAAGAAAAATTTTAACATGCAAAAGCAATTGAATGTCTGGTTCCCCACAACAAAAACCACTCTCCCTCTAGCAGTTTTCTGGGACTGGATCCGATTTGACAATAAATTTTGTTCCCTCTTTTTCTTCTCCTTTAAAAAAATGAAGTTTATTCTTAGATTATAACATATTTCATAAAAATATACATTCCTTGGTTCAAATCAAAATATGTGTTTATCATTTATAAAAAAACAGCCAGGAACACTAAATATTATGCCTCTGAGGAATCAGCAGCAGTGGCCTTCTCACGCTGGCGAATCATATCTTCCTCCCTTTTGTGCTGTTCCTCCTCTTGCCTCAGCTGCATTTCTTTACGTTTCTGCATTTCTTGATTGTGAAGTTCTTCCACACGTCTTAATTCTTCCTGCCATCACACCAAATCCTGGCGCAAAACATTCGCCTGATGATGATGCTAAGCACTTTCCATTTCATTTTCCAACTTGTCTTTTGCATCCTTCACGCTTTTTTCAACTTGTTCCCTTTGTTGTTTCTCCATTTCATCCAAAGATTTCCATCATCGAGAGTAAGTTATAATACTGATCTTCAACTTCGCCATGCATGCTTCAGTGCGCATTAGGCGAAATATTCCACTTTGATACCATGAGTGTGTTTAGGTGTTTGAATGGCACATGCCATTTCTGGGAAATGTACCTGGAGGCTAAGTAGTGCTTTCTATAGATAACCGACTGCTCCTTAGTTTAAAAAAAGAAAAAATACATATTGAAGTAGTTCATCATTTGTTTGGCATTATAGGAAGCAAGCCAGTGCTAAGTATTTTTTAAATGGTCTGTAAGCAAAGCTGAACGGTAAATCTTCATTCAGGAATATCTATTAAGATTGTGGAACTGGGTGTAAGATTGGTAGGGGGAGAAAGTGGAATTTTTACATTTGAATTAAAGATTGTTACATTTGAAACTTTTGCATTTGAATTAAAGATTGTTAAACACACACACACACACACACCCCAAAACAGTGGGCTGCTAGCTTCCTGACCCTATATCTAACGTTTCCCCTAAATATTTTTATGTATAAAGATTTCAAAGTACTGCATTAATATTGCTTACTAATTAATAGTTTAGCAAGAAAAATATAACAGAAAGAAAACAGGAACTAACAGTCCTAGAAAGCAGGGATAAAAATTTAAGACATTCTCATGTAATTTAGATTTCAGAAGAACAAACTAGTAGGAAAGTCTGGTCACAACTCTGTCTTCCTCACCCTCAAAGTCTAACAAAAATTCTGAGGGAACTCAGGCAGACTCGGACCATGTAGTGTATGCCAGTAGCTCCTAAGAAAGGAGAGGCCAGTCTTTGTAATGTACAGGACCCCAAAGTGTCTTAAACGACCACAAGAACTGTGGAAAGTTTATTCTGTACCAGACATGAGTATGAAACATATGCAGTCATTTCTCTAGCACCCATTACATGCTGTATACAGAACAGCTACGGATTTTTTTGAATCATTAAGGTATTTATTCTAAGACTTAAGCAAAAATCTGAAAACTTTATTACCTTCATATTTCTAACATCCAAGTATAAGCAATTATTTTTGAACAAAATTAATTTATTATTATTTTATTCATTCATATTAATCTTTATATGACTAAAGGCCAATTTATTCTTTGATTTGGGGGGTCCAGACTAACATCTGATTTAACAGCAGGTCCTTCCAGATTTTGACTACCCTACATTTCATGACAGGAGCTTGATCTAGCGCAAGCTATATTCCAAATGTAATACTTAACACACAGTGGGTTGTCAATAGATGGTTATTAGATAAATTAACAAGTTTAACAATACAGTTGCACAGCCTATTAGCTGTAC